AGAGTCCATGAGACAATATTCAGAAAGGATTTTTTTTATTTTTTATTAATTGATTTCAGTTGCCTCTGAGACTAAATCTTTGCGTAAAGTCTATAATGTATACCCCTACCATTATTTATTTATGGTAGGGGTGCCCAAGTCTAGTTTTCCAGAGATACCATTCTGCAACTTTAGATGCGTTCCTTCTCTAAAACACCTGGATCATTTACTCATAATAAGCCTCTACAGAACTGAGTTGCTGCTAATGAGGAAAGTCAACCTTTTGTCTGGGATATATTTTAGCAGGGATGCATCTAAAAGTTGGTAGTATGGAGGACACTCCTCAATGTGGCCCGTTGAGGGTGGCCAATATGCAGAAGTGGCCCTCAGTGAAATTGAGTTCGACACCCCTGATGCATAGTATGCGTTTGGAATGCTTTTGTTGGCGGAAATGCTGTTGCCCACGGCAACTGGGGCGCTCAGGCTGTAGGGGTGAAAAACTTGTGTTTTATGTGGAACGGAGACGATATGTTTTACCTTCAACGTCATATCATCTGAGCAGGATGCTAACAGGTTCCCCGTAGGGTCCCACTTGATTGCATTAACTTCATTCTGCAGAAAGAGAGAGATAAATGAGGATATGTATAGACAGAATAAGATTGGTTTCAACATGTATGATTTAAAAACACAGAGCGTATCTGCCTCCACATCACTCACTGAGTGTCCCTGGAATGTCTTAATAGGCCGGTCCTGTCCCAGTTTGCAGACGTGGATGCACATGTCCGTACTACAAGAAGCAAACGTGTTGTTGCTCTGCCAGTCCACATCCAGAGCTGGAGCTGTGGAAGACGGACAGCAGGATGTTGGTGAGTTCAACGAGACCCCAACAATCCCTATACAACCCATAGGAGCCCCTGCTGTACCTGAATGGAAGGGGAACTGCTGCTTGGCCTCTCCTGTGTGAGCGTCCCATATGATTGTAGTCTGTAGGAACGGATGGAGGGATGAATTAAGCTCTGCTGTGTGTCATCTGGGCAAATCTTTCTCATCATGTGCTTACCTTGTCTACTCCTGCACTGAGGATAAAGTTGCCTTTCTTATTCCACTTCAGGGCAAAGATGGGGCCTTTGTGTTGCCCCAGGGTGCTGGCTAGATTACCTGCAAGACGACAACAAAAGCTGATGTCAACTGACACTGAGACGTTACATAATGCTGCCAGTAGATGGCAGTAAATAGGAAAATGATGAAAACTAACTGATTGTGAACAAACATTTTTCATTTCCATCAAAGCCATCTCACCATCTTTTGTCCATATTCTGGCAAAGCCGTCATATGAGCCTGTGGCCAGCAGGGTGCCCTCGCTCTGCAGCACAAACACAAACATTACTGATGCAAGCTGAGCTGCAGATTCATGCTCAACTTATTAGCCAACATTGTCTGGAAAAACAAAAAACGACATCCATACAGCTGATGCTGAGTCACCATGGTAATCTGCCTAATGCTCCATGACAGCTTGGTGAGTGTCGGTGTGCATTTAGGAAAATGAGATGATGTTCATGTGTTGTGTCCATTCCTGTTCCAGAGGAAGTTTCAGTAAAGTGACAGTGATCTATTCCTCATCAATGCATGCCGTGTTTTATAGCTGAAACTTTTATTTTAGCCATCTGTCATTTTATGATGTCACTCCCTCATCAAGGGAGTGACATCCCAGCATCGGGATTTCTGACACAACCCTTGAGTGTCAGAAAATTATTAAAAGATACTTTAAAAGACAGATTTTTAAGTTATTTTTATATACACAGTATTTTAATAACTGAAAGTAACAATTACGTGACTGTGGGGTTATAACAATTCATCGGATTAATTGTGTTTAATTAATTATTGAAATAATTGTTAACTAATTTAGTAATTGCTATCAATTATTAAATTAGTTAATTATTTCAAAATATTCCGTCAGCTGAGAGAGCAACACACTCAAAGAAAATATTAAGCTAAACTGTCCAAAACATTAAAGACAAAACATCTTCTGTCTGTAAATCTGTCCTACCCAGAACTGATCTGGTTGGTTAAATGATCTGGTCTGAAGGCAGCAGCTTTAATTGGACCTCACAGCTTGTTAGTATGGACTCACATTCCAGTCCAGCGAGGTGACGTCTTTGTTGCTGGGGACGTCCTGCCCTCCTTCTCTGATGCAGTGCCTCAGGACCAGCTGTGTGGAGCTGCTGGTGCTGTTTTCACTCAGGTTCCAGATACGAGCCGTCGAATCCCCAGACCTAGACACACACACACGTTACATCTTCCAGATTCTAGCTGATGTATACTGTGTGTAGGGGAAGAGGAACTGACCCAGAAGCCAGCAGGTCGCTCACTGGGTTCCAGGCACAGATAAAGACCTCTGACTCGTGGCCCCTCAGGACCATGGCCTTGTTCTGAGGGATCTCCACGTCTCCATCCACCTCCATCAGATCTGAGTGGTTGTCTGTGGACACAATTGGACATGTCACACACCCAACAGATGTGGGCTGTGGCTTTGCTAACCAGAGAGCTCCTACTCACTAGCTAAGGCGTGGGCTCCATTCTCCTCCCCGTTGGCAGTGTTCTCTCCGTTCTTGGCGTTGCCGGCTATGCTGCCCCCTGCGGCCGATGCCGGCGCCGAAGCTGCAGCCTGCTGTTGGGCCATTTTGTCCCGGTACGCCTGCTGCCTCGTCTGGACCACGTCTGGCATCACTGCGTCGATGAGCGACAGAGACTCGATGGGTCGGCCGTCAAATAACGTGCCATCCTGCGAAGCAAGAGAGGAAAGGACAGAGACAGGAAGTGAGAGCTGAACAAAGATGGAGTGCTCTGCAGCAGGACCAGGTGTAGCATGAAGGGGAGGGGCTTGTTTCCCACCTCGTTGATGCTGACTTCAGCCTCCACATACTGCAGGCCCTTCTGGATGATGCTGATGAGGGCAGCAGGGGGCACCAGAGCTCCGTTGATGTTGGACTGGCTAATGTGGCTCTCTATGCCGAATGTAAATGCAGAGTGGGAGAACCCTGACAAACAGGAGCACACCAGAGAGGGTTTTTAACAGCATCGCCATGGAAACCAAGGCTCCCAGAGAAAACAGAACCCATTATTAAAGTTTTTTTAACTTAGGTTTTGAAGACTGAATGATAAAATGTTACTTCATCTTTCTGTGCGTCTTCTTTTGACTTTTATTGTAACAAACATGGAGTAAGCCCATGTTTACCTAGCAGAAAATTTATTGTGAACATAAAATATGCAAATATTTAAGAATGGTAGATATCTCTGGCTACAACTAGTTAGTTTAATGACTGGCTGGGTGATCAGTGGATTCTCAGAAGTAAATTTATGAAATTCTGTCACTTTTGGTCGATACTAAAGCTTTGTTCCCGATTTTATGTTGAGTCATCAAATGATGGCCAAGAAAAATGAAATGAAAACGTCGCTGATTAGAACTGAAGCTCTGGGTCTTCATCAAACCTGGAACAGTGAACAGCTGAGCTAAATCAAAGCCTCTGTGTGGTTTCCTTCTTGCCTTTGCTCTTTTCTAACCCACATTCACAGTGTTTGGTAAACAGCTCATCACCTTACAGAAAAGCACTCACTTTGAAGGTTCTTTCAAGGTGTGATGATGTGTTTGTGTAAATAACGTTTGTAAGGTGACAAGATGTCAAATCTGAATGTAAAGTAGCAGAAGAGCCTGTCAGATTCTTTGGTGGGAGTGGGGATGGATACCTGATTCCTGTAAGTATCTGTAGACCAGGAAGTTGACCTCATCACTGCTAATGCTCATTTTTAATCCGGTTACACCATGAGGTCAGCACACACACTTCTATCCTGGAACACAGAGAGGAGCATCATCAGTGGCAGGGAAAGAAACACACATTGTTTATTATATTGGGTCATGAAAATGAGATGTTTCTGGAACAAAAAAAAGTTTTAATAAGACTAATCAGTATGGAGTATTAATAATTTCAATCAGATGCGAAGAGCAATTCAGACTCAAAAATAAAACTGAGTCATTTGGATGTGAAGCAGACGACAATACAATTCTGACTCCATTATCATTAGAGACTGTTAGTCAGTTAGAGCTTATGAACCATTTACATCTGACTTTGAGGATTTAATTTTCTAAAGACTCAACATGGCAGCGTCAGGAGAACTATGCTGATAACTGATTCCAGCTTGAAGCTCACGTCTATATCCAGGTCTCAGACCATCTCAGTAAATACATTTACCAGTTAGTACTACAGAGACAGACATGATGTATTTCACAGAGACAAAAAGAAATTCATAATGCCACTCTTTAGTGGGAGTTGAAAGTTTAAAGTTTTAGATTAATGGATATAATCCCCCCACAAGTCAGAACAATTCCAAGAAAATTAAAGGATTTCCAAAAACCCAACCACAAAAATGCAATATGGCTGCCAGTAGGAACGTGACGGTATGGTAACCAGCAGAAACGATAGAAATTTGGCCAGAGATCTGCAGTCTACCAGCTAACTGCAGTAATGGTTGTTGATGACGTAACCATCCGGCATCAAAGCAGATGAAGCGTTGATGCCTGTGTTGAAGCAGTGTGGCTGAGAGCTCAAGGGAAGACCTCATTACAAAGGCAGGGGCTAAACGACAATTACCTGGACCTGGCTCAGGTTCAGTTATTGTGTTTCTATATACAGGTATTTTTCTTATGTAACTTTGATTTAACCAGGTGGTCACCATTCAGATTAATTAAATATAGAGCTCCTCATCAGAGTGGCTCCCTACAGTATGAAAACGGAGAACTTTATTTCAAACAAGAAACATTATACAGCTACATAAAACATGGACTGCAGAGAAAAAGATGTACACATAAACACATTATTTAAGGACATTATGCAACATGTAATGGGCTGCACAGTGATGAAGTTAGTAGAGCTGTTGCCTTGAAGCAAGAAGGTTCTGGGTTTGATTCCCGGCCCACTGTCTTTCTGCATGGAGTTTGCATGTTCTCCCTGTGCATGCGTGGGTTCTCTCTAGGTACTCCGGTTTCCTCCCACAGTCCAAAAACATGACTGTCAGGTTAATTGACCTTAATTGATGTGAGTGGGTGTGCATGGTTTTTTGTCCTGTCTGTCTCTGTGTTGCACTGTGACAGGCTGGTGACCTGTCCAGGGTGACCCCGCCTCTCGCCCAGAACGTTATCTGGAGATAGGCACCAGAAACCCTCCCGGCCCCAATAAGGGACAAAGGCGTACAGAAAATGGAAGGATGAATGGATATAACATGTAATGTCAAAATTTAATTGGTGCTTGAGTCTTTCAAGAACAGATATAATTTGAATTGAAGTTGGCGCTTTAGCATTAGCTTCTGCTAAATACTGTGTTGAAGTAACACTTTAGCATTAGCAGAATGATTGGTGCTTGAAAATTAGCGCAGCAAACTTTTTAGTTAGCGGTACCCACCACTGCCTTTTTATTATTTGCTACCGCTATGTCTTCCAAGTAAACTAAGGCAACCTCTGTGCTTACCCAACTGGACAGATTTCACTTTCACAAACAACACAGTAGTGGTTCTACTTCCTGAGCTGTCTTTACTCCTCTATTGAAATTCAGACTGAAAACAATGTTTCACACTAAGAGTTAATTTCAGACAAAAAAACAACAATTATGTTGCTTTAGCAAACATAAAACACAACAATGTGTTTTATGTTCAGTAGAACATCCAGGTCACTGATAAACTCACAGATCTTCTTTCCACCTGTTGCCAACATATAATCCCTGGAAAATGAACAATGTGTTATTCTGGGATTAATGACAGAGTGCAGTGCCATCAGAATTTGAGCCTGCTGTTTCTGGAAGCAGTCGGGGTCAAGGTGCTGTTAAACCCGAGCCACATTTCTCAGCTATCGCTACCCTTCCACTGTGTTCTCTGAGAAAATACCTGCCCAACAAGTTGAAAGGTCAAACTCTGCTTCTTCCTTCAATCACAAAAAAGGTCTATAAACATGTACTATCCAAGGCCCGGCTCAGGCTGGCTGCCACAGCGTTAGTCCTGTACATGGTTTCCGTTAATGTGATCGTTGTGTTGATGCATTTTGACATGTTTCAATTTTCCGCCGCAACACGCAAACTTCCCCATTCACTCAGTGCATTACAGTTCCACATCGCTTAGGATTTGTTGCTACACGTTTGCGCAGATTGAAGGAAAGAGGAGACCAGCTACACATGCAGGCTGCGAAATGAGAAGTAGGTGATCGGTTTGTGTGATCGGCAACAAGAGACCGTGATCGGTGATCACCGATCATACACTTTTTCATGGAAATCGGCCGATTATGATCGGTGGCCGATCGATCGGCACACCTCTATTACCTAGAAATCTGTGTCTCTCAACTGGTGACTACACCAGAACAAGAACTAGAGAATGATCTCTCAACACACACACCTGCTGCTGTACATGTAGGGAAAATGCTTTGTTCCTACAACCCATAAACATCTTAACAAATTTATTTCAATCAGACTGATGGTATCACAGAAAGTGAACCCTGGTTTGTTTTAACCATAAACCATAAAGTGGGGTTTATGGTTAAAGACAACAACCACCACATTAACTCTGTGTAGGTCCTGTTGGTCTTCGTGAAGCAGCCCAGGGTCTAAGTGTGGAGTGTGTTAGCTGGGTGGTACAGGTCTGCTTTCTGTCCATCGTAATGTCAAAGTCTGGGGTTTTACAGCACAACACTGAGCAGTTTCACACAGTTTTCAACATCAGGTTTCATAATGTTGCTGCTTTTGTAGCAGTAGCTTTTCTTCCTGTTCATAACAGTTTCTGCTTTTCTTTGAGACTTTTTTTCCCCAAAGTACTGTAACAGAAAATAAAACCAAGTGTCTTGCTTGCTCTTTGATATAGGTAGGATGTTTGAATCTGACCATCAGTCACTGAAATACAGGATTATTTCATTTTATGAATCTAATGAAAATCACATAAAACTAAGGAACATGTGCCTAAAACATTGTTTCTCAACCCTGGTCCTCACCACCCCCCTGTCCTACATGTTTTAGGTATTTCCTTTCTGCTACACACCTGAATTGTATCTCGGGGTGATTAACAGGCTTCTGCAGTACTTGATGGTCATGCAATCATTTGAATCAGCTATTCTGGAATAGAGGCACATCTAAAACATGCAGAGCAGGAGGGGCTGTAAGGACCAGGGTTGAGAAACACTGGCCTAAAATAAAACATCTGTATCAGGTAACATGCTAAAGCTTGAGATGTTTTTACACTCAGAAATTGTGAATTTTACTTTCTAGTGTATTTATAAACATAGAAATATTAATCTGATTGTTCAGTATTTCACCTATCAATAAGCAATCCAAGTCAGTAAAGTAATATTAAATTTAATTTCTGGTTAATTCTATAAGCTGAGTTGAACTTCCAATGTTTTTAAAGCTTTTAGCATTTTTCTATGCAATAACTACAAATTTTGGGGGGAAAGATCAGGAAAATACAGCATAAATTAGCAATTCAAAGGTTGGTTACTTTTCATTGATGACCTAACATGGTGAATGAAGCAGCAGCACAAAAAATGATTGCATTCAGTATACACACCATGTAAAATGACAGAGCATTAGTGAGTTTGTGTCATTATTGTTGCTAATTTTAAGAATAGGACGTGTTGACTTAATACTGTGACTGTTAGACAGAGCACCTTCACAGGAGAATAAAGCTGCCAATGCTGATCTGTGGACTCTGTATAACCCCTAGGACATCAAAGGAGAAAAGGTTATGCGTGTTTCTCTGACATGTTGGCTCAGCAGTGCCTACAGATCTGCAGCTTGGACCATTGGTGGAAAGTAAGATTTAACTGTGTTTTCTATAGCAGGGTTTCCCCAGTGTGTTAAAAGCATGGCAGGCGACCTGGCTTTACTGCGAGTGAATATACCTTTGCGAGCAAAGAATAATGTGAGGAACAATACATGTTCAAGCTTTGCTCTGTGTCTGCTCTTCCAACTTTGATAGTGAAGTAATTTAATCACACCAGCAGTCAATCACAGACAGGTCTTTTTTTAACCAGAGTATTCACTGGATCCACTAGCTGATTACTTTATTAGGATTTAACTGAAACGCAAAATTTGATATTTCTTTTAATTTTGTTGTATTGTCTGCTTTTTTTTTTAAGACTATAGTTGGTGTTTAACTATTGTCAATGTTGTCTTCCAATTACAAATAATTGCCTTGTTATATTTTCTGCCAACTTTTAACATTTCTAATTCAAAAACACAGACGGCTGGTGGACTTCACTGGTGCTGCTACCACCAGGCTTAGCTAGGTTTCTGGGGTACACCCTCCAACTACCGACCTTTAACAAATTAGTTAAAGTAACTAGTAAATAATATAGAAAACACAGACTGATGTTTACAGTCGCTGTGCTGACCACTGTTATGAGATGCTAAAGACAGTTTAAAAAAAGTTACGTTTGTAACAGTTCTCTCTGTGTCGGGACACTTAAAACCTGTTTCACAGTGATTATTTTTTCACACATGGAGTGAAATCGCCTCTGAGCCTAATGTAAATATTTTATGACCCCTCCTGGCAAGAAGGCTACATGAAAACTGTTCCCAGATCTCTGTTACAAAAGATAACAGAATAAAACAATCCTAACTGGCTACATTTCTATCATCTGATTAAAGTCTTACAAGAACCAGAGATAGGAAAACTACAAAACTCAGTGTTTTTTAAAATATGACTCATACAAATGGTTCAAATTCAACAAAATGTACATTATATCTGATAAAGGTAGCAATTGTGAATAAAACTGAAAATAAAAGGGTTACAATCTATCTAATTAGTTCGTCATCATT